CGGAGTTAAACCACGACAACTTCATTACTGGGAGATCCCAGTAAATGGCTTCTTAATGAAATAATTTGTATTTTGTAGGATTTATTCTAAATATAGATTTCTCTACCTGAAGTCCATAAAAAATAATTTTAGAAAAGTAAATATAGTGAGAGAAGAGTATCCCAGGACATGGAGAGCTTGAGTTTTGTTGAATTGGACCTTAGAAGTGCTCCTCTTAGGCTTCCTACTTTGACATTCCTACTGTATTGATAAGCCTCATCACTGAGCTCTCTCAAAAGGTCCTGTAATGCATGAGGGGTTTGGACTTCATGTACACCTATATTCACTTTGCTACATCTAAACGATAAATGCAGTAACAGGGTTTTCTGTAGATGTTCCCACTTAAACCATTTTGTGCGCTTGCAGGAAGCTGTTATGTTTGCCTCCCTTATTGAATCTGGCAGGGCTACTCCTCCCTTGGTTTAAACAGAACTGTTAGAAAGTTGAAGTTTTTCACTTAAATTATGTTAAAATTCTTATCTCTGACCAAACAGTGAAGAGCAAGCTGTCCACATGAAAGGTTCAGAAGACTGAACTCGGGTCCATGTGCTCTATTCCCACTTCCCTCCATTGTTTTGTACTCTTGCAATTCAGTTTTCCCTATTAATTGTGCCTTGAGCTGCTGCATGATGGACAGACGCTTCTCAGTCGTGAAAGTGCATGAAAAATAAGTGCATTGTGGGGCTTTTAAGAAATGATGTTTTGTAAGGTACTTGCAAGACTCCCTTCAAACATTTTCAGGCTTTAAATAGAGCAAAGTCAGGCTGATCATAAACGTTTCTTCCCTGTGTCAGGGAAAGTGTTTCTCGAAGAAATTTAATCTACAAGTCTCTGGTATCATCAGGGAGAGAAATGTAAAGGGAGACTGAGGATGTGTCTGTATTGTGCTTCCCAGAGCAGGTGTTAACAGAAAGCTGGATATGAAGCTGGAAGCTGTAGACTCTCATGCTCTCTTTTATGAAAGAAAGCTTGTGTCACTGGAGTTACGGAAGCGCCGGCGATGTCATGGCAAAGTTAGAGCAGCACGGACAAGATCGTCAGGTATGTGTGGCTAGTCTTCAATGAGCAGCTAGTCAGAAACAAACAGGCAAGGACTTTTTCACTTGAAATGTGTGTGGATGGCGTTTTTCTGGTATTTGTAGTTCCTAAAGGGGTTCACAGGTTCAAGCTAATAGTTTTCATTTCAAATGTTAATAGTTTTTTCACTTCATTCCTCCTTCTGAACTTCCTGCTTTCTTAGTGCTTAGAATTTCATTCCACATCCCCATGTATATGACTGATGAGCTTGCGGTTGCATTTTAGGTAGCAGAATTCAACACTATGTGTGCCTTCTAGTCCTCTAGCTTTTAAAAGAAAGATGGAAACTTGGGACCTTCCAGGCTGGTTCTCCTACACAGCAGTGGCTCTAAGCTGTTGGAAATAGAGAAATCCTTCTTGTCCAGGCTGATGTGGGAAAAACTTAAAAGGGTCAGAGGTGAATGATCCTCACAAGTGGCTGTTCCTGAAACCATTATCTAAACACTTTCTAGTAGCTGTGATACTGACTGCAATGGGAGAGTTAGTATGTTGTAAAATGATTTTCAGTACTTTATTAAGGTATGTGATCTTTATTGGCACACGTGGAAGTCTAGGTTTCATAGCTTTGGTTTTTCTGACACACAAAAATACAAAAAAATAATATATACACCAAGTATGTGTGCGTATATATATGTCAGTATATTTGTAGGAATCAGGATAAAATATAGGAAAATGCCTTTGTTTCTTTGTTTGGGTTTTTTTTTTCCCTTTAAGTTAAGACAAGAATCTTGGTCTCTCTGATACTGGGAAAACTGACTTCTCTGCTGTTTGATACGAGCAGCAAGAATAATAAAAGGCAGCGCTCCTTAAGATGCTATTCTGAAATGATGGTGTTCTGTCCTAGTTATAAATAGCAGGACAGTCTTCCCCTTCTTTTTTGCTTAACCAGCATGGGTGATTTCTCCTCTACTACAGGGACATCAGCGCCAACAAAGCTGTCCCTCAAGTCAGACACAGAAGGTGAGGAGGAAGAGGAGGTGGATGCAGATGAAGAACTAGATAGAACTGTTGGCTCTCTTTCGAACACCGAGGTGAAAAGCAAGCCAAAGCTCTCTGACTTGGTGAAAACTACTTGTAAGGAGAAGTTGCCAAAAAAACTTGACAAGAAAACTGGAGATGGAGAACTGTTACTTCGAAAAACAGACTCAGAATCTCAGGTTAACTTGCTGCAGATTCTTCAAAAGCATGGAAACCTGAGGTGAGAGATTTCTGCGTATTGCCTTGAGTTTTGACTAGCAGCTAATATAGGTTAAAATGTGGAGGAGGTACACTTAGTGCCACATTATGAATGAGTGTGAGGAGAGAAGAGTTTCCTAGAGAAAGGAGCCTGGATTGTTGTCTAACTGTGGGCTGCCTTTTACAACTAGTTGGCAAAGAAGGGAGATAGTTGCAAAGACTGACTGTTCACCTGGATACCCGGACTGTTGGATCAGTATAAAGCCATAGTTTCCATTGCTGTTCTTTAATCTGGTGATGTTAAGCTGGTCAAGTTTGGTCAAGTCAGGCTTCTAAAATGCCACTGGCTTAATGAAGGGTGCCTGCTATTGAATTCTAAAATTTGTCTTTTGATTCTTTGCGTTTCCAAAGAAGAACGTATAAACATACGTTAAACTATCCAAGAAAGGTTGAGTAGGAATATCTCAGTGCTACCTCTCCATAAAATTAGTTTCGTCATTTTGTGCTTTAATTTTTGGTGATAGAGTTTTTACCTATAATAATAATCTCTGCTCAAGTTAATCACCTCCTGAGAGCAAGATGGGGGGTCCTTTGACAGTGACAAGTGACTGAAATATCTCATTACCTGCTATTGAGTATGAGCACTCACCTTAAATGTGGGTTGAAAACCTGTCTATTTGCAGGTGGACAGGAAGGGCAAAAAGGAAGAGTGATCATATATGTCTGTGTAGGAGGATTTTACGTCTTCTACATAAGAAGCAGCATTATGTTTTTTGTGAAAACTGGCCAAAGATAGAGAAAATAATTGTTGCTTGTTGTTGCTATCTTAGTTTCTGAGAGGATTTATTAGTTATCAAATGGATTTGGGGATTGTTCTCATGTCTTCTTGTGGCAAGGACATTTGCAGTTATGGCAAGGAAGATTGACACTTCTTTTGAGGACAAACATAGCAATGCTGTCATGTACCTGTATATAGAACTGACTCCTGGCAAGAATGTAAGCTCTGTTTGGTGTTCCAGGCAGAATCTTGCTCAGCACCCAGTACTGTTGGGATTCCCCAGGGAAGTGTGTAAGGCTGGTGGTGACCTCATGTTCCAGGATTGTGCTGGGCATGGCCCCATCTGATCTGCCACTGATAAAAGCTTTGCTTGTGGGATCAACAGGCAGAGGAGCTGAAGTAATGAAATTTTCATCCAAAAGAAACCAGGCCTGTTCCAGTCAGTTTTTGTGAGTGGTAGAACTTCTCTCTCTGCCTTAGTCGGCCTGATGAGGCAATTTCTCTGTATTCCACACACTTGAGTGTTGCTGGTGAGGAGGTGGCAGTCAAATGAAACGTGTTTCCCCAACTGTGCCATTCCTAGGGAAGTAAAAAGAACAGGGAGTTACTTGTCCCTGCATTTAAGTCCTCAGGTTTCAATATTCCGCATGCCAGAGGAGAGCAGTGTTAGGCAAGGACCTTCTGCAGCTTCCTGTTTTGTAATCACAGAAGTATCAGGTGCAGGCAAAGAATCTTATTACTGTGCTGATGTTGATAACAGGGGGTTCTTAATTCATACCAGCACAAATCTTAAACTCCTGGTCACGGGGTGTTTAAGTTACCCATAAAACAAACATGGCAGCCCTAGAGGGCTCTTGGGGAGAGCCTTTTCTGATAAATGATGGGCCTGATGTATGCAGTACTGGTTCTTAGTCAGGGTTCAGAGTGTTCTGATCTCCCACACATGTGGGAAGAGAAGCATGTGTGGGGACCAGCAGCATACGGAGCGCAGCGGTGTTGCAAGGCCTGCTGTGCGTTCTGGAGTTCACTGGAAGGCAGGGATTGTAACCAGGTATTTTTATCCTGTTTTAATTATTGCAGCACTGGTACAGCTATCCACAGGGGATGTTAGTTTGATACCCTTGTGAACTCATTGTTTGCTTAGCCCTTCTTTGGGTCTGAGGTCTTCAAAAGCATTGAGATTAAGATTAAGCAGATGCATGGATACTTTGAATGTATTTTATTTTACTTCAGTTCTTACCTAAATCGATGTGTTGATCTCCATAAGTGCTATTATGTTGTGTGATTTCTATGTAACAATGTAACAAAGTGTTCATGAAATTTACAGATATATAAAACAGGAAGACTAAATTTCTGGGCTGAGTTTTTAACAAGATTTCAGGGACTTATGTACGTGGAGTCATGAGGACCATGTACGTATCTGAGAATATTCCCAAGAAGCAGAGAACAAGTAGAAAAAAAATGGTGAGGTTCCTCAGGAATCAGTCTGAGCCTGATTTTAATAATCAGTGATGACACAAAATGTAGAAATATGATAATGAAATTTGCCTGATGGAAAAGATTTTGGAGTTATTACTATGAGAGAAAAGTAGTGGGGAATAAATACAGGAAGAAATGAATGACCTCTAAGATAGGAATAATATAACCAGGATGAAATTCAGTAGCACAAAATGCAAGGGCATGATTTTAGGAACTAACAATTTACAGCAGAAATTCTATCAGCTGGGTGTTCATCAACTGGAAATTAATTATAAGGAAAAATCTCTCGCATGCTCATTGATCACAGGAGGTTTGCGAAGCTCCAGCTCATGGATGCATGAAAACACCAAATGTGGTCTAGGCTTTATCCCTTGAGATGCTTCTGAGACTTCATGTGGAATATTGTGTACAGTTGCTATCATCCATGCTCATGGAAGATAAACTGTGACTGGAACGGGTGAGCTGCTGGTCTCATCGTGTCAGCCGTGTGGGCTTTGTTAGGAGACACTGCAAGAGGTGGATAGTTCACTCTAATAAAACATGAACTATGAAAGGATGTAATTGCTGTTAATAAATATATTCAAGGTAGGGGACCCATCAGGGGTGGAATTAAGATACAGGACTATGTTGGAGAAAGAAAAAGCAAATATAAACTGCTCATCAATGAAGCTAGGCTGGTAGTAAAAGAAGATTCCTAATTATTAAAACAGTAAGTTCTGAAATAATACTCTAGGAAAGTTGGTTGAAAACTCTAGTTTGTTTTAAGATGAAACATGGTAATTTTATAGGAGAGATTAGGACACATTGCCTATGATAGAAGGGGAACCTCTCACTGATACTAAACCCCATCTGCTTCTACATCCCTATGAAAAGGAAAGAAGAAATCATGCTCGGCAATTCAAGGGACAGCTTGTGGTGACTGTGGGGGGAGCTGTGGGGAAGAGTGGAGACTGGGAGAGCAGAATGTTGGAGGAGAGGATTTAGGCCAACGTGACAATGAATAGAATCAGGCGAAGCTTTCAGCAATTTCTCTCACAACAGATGCATACGCTGAAGTGACTCCCATTGTGAGGGATTGAGAAGCAACTTGTCCCCCTCAGTCCTACCCCTGTCCTCTCCTCAGTTCATGCTCACAGCTTCCCAACACGTTCAGCCAGCTTCACAGCAGATTTTGCTGATGTTCTTTCATTCTTCAGTGGTGCCTTGCTCAATGAAATTTGGCTTGTGTCCTTGGGCCAGCAGGGAAGAGCTCACTTTCACAGATTTAATTCTTTTGTTTCCGATGGGAATTGTAGGGCCTTTGTTACAACTCTGGCACCAGTACCAAGCTCTTTGTTTATTTTATGGTCTGTTGTTGTGGTGTTCAAAATGCCTGTGAAGACAGAGGCCCAAGAGAGCTTTGAATTTGGTTTAAAAATACACAGTTTTGCTGATGTTCATGTTACTAGCTTTTGGAGAAGAGTCGCTAAGGCTGAGAAAAGGCAAGGAGAGCATTCCATTTTTAGAGATGATCTTGAAACTTAGAGACAGTCTGTTGTCTTTTGTGTCTCTGGCAATACCTACCCCATCTTGGTGAACTGAAGGTCTCCTTGAAAATACTGGTGGGGTGAAGGGGTCCTCTTTCCAGCACCAAGGAGGTCCTTGCTGTCTGTACTTTGGCCCATAAGCTGTGCCTGACTGCAGTAACTCTTCCCATTGCTATTCTGAAGATAGCTGACTGGTTCTTTTGGTCCACAGCAAAGTGCAAGCTCGCAGGGCTTTCTCTGCCTACCTAAAGCACGTTCAGTTGCGACTGATGAAGGAGGTCGGTGACCAGATCAAGAATCCTGCTTGGGCTGCCAAAGAGGATGAGCTAATGGTAAGAGGCTTTGTGTTGGCTAGACTGTGAGGTCAAGTGAAATCTGCCTTGAGCGTTTTGAGGTTAGAACTAACCCTTGGAATAACTGAAGTCCAACTGATAGTCCAACTAGCTTTGCCCAGCTGCCAGTGCTGTATGTTCAGTATATGACAAGGTAGGGCTGCTGGCTGATATCTGAGCAGTGATAGACAGCTCTTCATGACTGGAGTGTGGTTGACATTCAGGCTTCTCAGATCCTTCCCTCATTCTCCTTCACTGATCTTTGAGCTTACCTGCTTTTGAATTCTCTCCAACTTCTTGAAGATTACTTGGCAGTCTCAGTTTCTGCCACATTTAAACAAAGCATACATCTACTCAAACAGACTGAGTACCCAGTTAAGCTTTTTCTCCTAGGTAGTGTTTTACTCTTTGCAAGCATCTGCGCTCAGGAGACTTCCTCATGTTCTAGATAGAGTGGAAAAAAGTAAAAGCCACTGAGGGAGAGAAAATAACTTTCTAGCATAGGTGTTCCTTTTTTAAAAACTGTGATGAATTTTTCCAGGCAGTAATTTAAGGCCCTATATTTGATGTCTATACATCTTAAAGAGTGCATCAGGCTCAGATCCCCCCACAAACTTTCCTGAAAGAGCTTTGTAGAGTAGGCTCTTGAGCTTTCTTCAAATCCAAATGTATTCTCACTGAATGCATGTTGCAAGGAAAGAGCCAGTGCTGTTCAGAGATAAAACTGTGTGTCAAGAATAATCAGTCGACTCAGTGGAAAATGTTACCCTTGCTCTTTCCAAGTGGAAATTAAAACTGGCTTTTTGAGAGTCACTTTGTCTGCTGTACTGTGAAAAATAATGTTTAAAATAACAGATCCAAACCAGCCTGGAGTAATGGCAGTGAGAGGCGAGCTGTGAAATCCAATAGTTTGGCTGTGAGGCTGCTCATTTATGCATTAGCAGAGCTCCTAACCAAAAGCAAATCCAGAAGGGGCTCAAAACACCCACAGGATGCATCTCGCCTTAGGGTCTGCCTTCATATATTTCTCCTACCAGAGGTCAAACGGACATGGTGGGGGATTGGAATTACATGGCTGTAGGTGTAGTCATCTGTTGCTGTGGAGAGGCTGTGGCTATAGTATACATATATGAAAAGTGATGAAATGGGGCTACATCACTGTAGCGGAGATACCTGACCAAGATCCTCTTCCCTGTGATAGCGCTGAGAGGGATTTATGTCAGTATGCTCCATCACAGGCCTTCTCTAACACATTGCAGGTTGGTTTTTGGAAATGTTCTCCTAAGGTGTTGGACTTTACACATTATTCTGTGTTGGTGCTGCTTTTTGCTGCTTGATCTTGGTTTGGTGTTTATGGGTGTGGGGTTTGTGTTTTTTTTTTTTTTTTCCTTTCTTCACCTGTCATGCTTTTCAGACAAACACTCCTCAAGTGTTCCCAATTCTGACCCACCTTACGCAAGGCCCACCATCGTTCTTCTCCCCCCATCTTGGATTTGTAGGGCTATATTAAAAATGCACGTTGCAGAATGCTTTTGCCTGGCAGTTGTCAGCTCATTTTCCCAGGATGGTGTGTTTAGTTCTTGCCAGTCATTGCTGGCAAGTTACCTCTGTCCTCTTCTCCCCACATCTTGCAACCAGTTCGTTGTTAACTCCATCTCTCTTGCTTGCAGGAGCTTGTGGTACGTTTTCTGAAGCGAGCTGCCAGCAATCTCCAGCAGTCCTTGAGGATGCTGCTCCCCAGCCGTCGTTTAGGACTAAATGATCGTCGTCGTATCCTGGCTCACCAGCTGGGCGAGTTCATCATCTGTTATAACAAGGTGAGTAACTCTGTCTTGATTCTTCTTTTGCTAGCTTTTTTGGTTTTTGCTCTCTTCTTCTAAAGTATCTCCTGCTGTCTGCTGTCATAATCAAGGCAGCAGGCTGTTTCAAAGGCTCTGTTCTGTAAGTTACATGGTCTGTGTGCAGTCGTGCATCCGACTGCATGGTAGTTTCTGTTCAATTTGTCAGATAGACAACAGTATTACAACATTACAGATGCAGTCCAGTAGTCATCTGCATAAAAGCAAAAAGCAGTGTTGAAATGAAGTGGAATTTAACTGGCAGTTTGCTTTTTCTTTGGCTTGTCTTTGATTCTAGTGCTTTGTAATGCCTCTTCCCATTTCTCCCTGTTTTTATGTTGCTTCTTTAAAGACAGTTTTTTAATACAGAACAGTATGAAATATTTATTTTACCATTTGTTTGTTATACTGAGGGATTGCTACCTACCTGCAGTATGACTCTACATGCTCAGTGATAAGGAGAAGTAGATCCTAATTTAAATAATTTTCACCTCTTTAAATGTAGATGCTGCTGTTCTTGGCATAGTGGTTTCACGATAATCCTTGTTTTTCAAGAACAGCTTTCCCTTTCCTTTGCCCCCTGGCATCTCTTTAGTGTTAGAACAGAGGTAGTTTAAATTTCGCTTTCAGAGGCTGCTGTGCATGCAGGCCTCCAAGCTCCTACTCCTTAGCAGAGGATGTTCACTCACATTACCTTGTCAAAACTGACATCTGGTAACTCGATCTGTCAAAGCAAGGTTGGTATTGAACCAAATCTGTTCCAGGGAGTGCCTTGTATGCCTAACGCTCACTGACTTACTGTGTTAGGAGTAACCACAAAGCACTCGGGTGGCTCTGTGGTGAGTGAAGAACGCAGCTGCTTTAGCTATAATTTCCACTCAAATTGTATTCAAACATCAGGATTTTCTGCTAACTCTTAACAAAACAAAGCTGTGTAACTGGTAATAAATCAGTGCATAAACATATTTTCTTAGTTAAAACAAGTGAGAACAGATCACTTGAGGTTTTAGGACATACACGTTTAAGCCATTGAGAGACTTTTGGGCTGTGAGGTTTTTTGATGTCTGAGTCAACAGAGAGACTTCTTTCACTGACTTGTAACTTAAGATTTAGTATGAGACTCCCACTAGCCATTATGTATTTTCTCTAATGATGCAGAAATTAAAAAAAAACCCTAACTCCAGCAAAGTGAATAAACAGGATCACACATTGTCCAGACTCTTACTTAAGTAGTGAAGGATAGAGATATGTCCCAGAGTGGCTTTTTCTTCCTCCTCTTGAATTATCTTTCAAAAGATATATCAGACCCTTTTGTCCTGGGAATGCTTCGATTACCAGTAGGAAGCAATGAAGTGGAGGTCAAGTCTGGCCAGATAAAGCTTGTATGGTGCTATTGGTATTTCAGACAGGCCTGTGGGTTCTTTTTAATTAACAAAAATGTTTGTATCAGTGCAACTTCTAGTGTCAACAAGTTCTAGTGTGTAGATAGATGGGTGTAAAATAGAAAGATCCCTTATATCTGAGATCTTGCTCCCATTCTCACACACAAAGGCTTACCATCTTTTATTCCAGTATATTTTAGTGTATAAATGCTTATCTGCCACAGACTGTACTGTTTTATTTTCTTTGCTTGTGCTAAATCAGTATAATTTTGGTATGTAAATAAGCCCTTGGTGATTTGCTGCATGACGAGAGAAATTAACTCGAGGAGAACTCGGAGTTTAGATTAGGAAATGCTGAGGATGCCCTCAGCTGACCTCCTTGACTGAATTACTTTAAAATAATTGTATATTTTTGTCCTTCTTTCTTCCTGAATATCTCCTTTTGGGACAGAAGTCTCAAGTAAAAGCAATTTTGAGGAACTCTCTGAAGAAACAGCAAAAGTAGAAAGGAAACCTAATGTCAGTGAAGAATTTTTTTTTCCCCTCTGTACTGCCTTATGTCCCAGCAAAGAGTATATTTGAAGGACCAGCATGTATTTGTGAAGACCTCACCTCTTCTCAGCAAATCAGTTCTAATAAGCTATGTCAGGTGAAGGGATGAGGAGTTTAGTGTGTGCATAGCATGCTGTCTCTGGGGCTTTCTGTATTTATCCATTCTGTTGCACACAGTGAAATACTTCCAATTTGGCTCTTTGGAGTTGACATTCTTTTTTCTTGGCTACTGTGGAATTGGTTTTTGTCTACTCTGAGCTGCAGCCATGCCATGGAACATAAAGCAAGTACATAGAGACACTTACTAATACTGCTTCTTAACAGGAAACAGAGCAGATGGTTCAGAAGCAATCAAAAAAGAAACAGGAAGAGGAGCAGGAGGGAGCGAATCCTGAAGATTTTCAGAAATTTATTACCAAAGCAAGGTAGGAATGGATTTTATTCCCTTTGATAAAGGATCTCCCAGCCTTGAAAGTGATGGGACTGTTCTAAAGATGATCTGATTAATCTAAAGGCCTCCAGATACCTTCATTGACCATAGCACCTGCTCCTGCCGGGGGACAGAGACCTTGTCTCTTTTCTCCCTTCCAGCAAACAAACACTTGTAGCATCAGTGTCTGGTGCAAAGAGAAGGACATACAGTAGATGTTTTGGTCATTAAGTAGATTTCCAAAGGACAGCAGTGGTTGCCTTGGTCTGTGTACACTTCAAACTGATGTTGGTTAATGGTCTCCTTTCCTGTGCTGCTGGAGCAAATGCAGCAGTACTTCGGAAGGAGAGTGAAACTAGGGCTGCTGCTCAGATGGCCTTGAGCTTCTGTTGTTGAACAGTTGTTGTGGCTCTCTTCAGGAACTCTCCAGATCTGGACTTTGAGATGAGGAAGGAAGGGAATTAGAGTCTCTGTCTTCATCCTAGTCTCTTATTTGGCTTGCTAAGGCCATTCAGTGCGAGCAGTTACTTTCCCAATGAAAAAGCAGCATTTTCTAACTGTGCATGCTCTGAACAGGAAACTTATTTTGAAAATAGGTAAATACTCTTTATGGACTGTGGCATTGTATGAAAAACAATGATATTATAGCTATCTGACTATGGAGAGGTCTGAAATTATTCAGTGAACTGAAATTATGTCCTCAAAGTCTGTGATTCTTAAGCACAAAACCTTTTGAGCTATTTATTTGACCCATAGATGACATGCCTATTTGGGCAAGGACACGTATCAGTGACTGCACAGGTAGAGCTCACCTGCCCTTTTAATGCCCTCATATCTTCTCTGGGAAGGTTGACAGTCACAGCTGCTTTTTTGTGATCAGTTACAAAGCTGTTCTTTCTTTTTCTCTGGATAGCACTCAGTGAGTGATTAGAAGTAGGTGATAGCTGAGGATCCTTAACTAAGTTCAGGAGGCTTCACAGTCTCTTTTGTTGCTACATTCTCTTGAAAACAATGAATTTTTTACCATTTTTCTAATATAATAGATGGAGTCATCACTGCGACAGGTTTATAGGCACCAAGAAAAATCTAGCAGCTTTTCGGATAGAGTTCTATGAAAGAATGACACTTGAAGTATCTGGCTACTATATGCTATAGCATCTACTCCTGTAACTAGAAACGCAGAATACATGGGCCCACAGCATGGTCTTGGTTCTCTGGCATCTCTGGCCACTAAAATGATTGCTGCCTCCTAGGGCAGGTAATTTTCCTTTTTGCCAGAAACGCTAAGGGATGGCTGCTTGGGACAGAACCACATGCTCTTCTGTTTCCATGTTACTGGCTACCATGCTGTCATGTCCTGATGCCCAGGCTTGGTCGGGGATGGAGATTTTTGCTGCATCATCTACCTGAGTGATAAAGAACAGCAAAAGCCAGTTTGCCAACAATCAGACAATTTCTAGTGATGATCTTTCTGCTTCTTATGAAGTATCAGGTATGTTTGAAAACTCTGGTATTTGACACTGCTTTGCACTGTGCGTGAAGCTTCAGACAGTGAGTTAGTCATTGGGAGCCAAGCAGAGGGATAGATTTCCACTTGGAGCGTTTGTTTGGCAGTACAGTGAATGCAACACTGGAGAAAATGGGTAATAAATGTTGCCACTTAATAATTAGGGTTGTGTCATTGACTAACTTGATATCACATGGATGGTATTGTGCTTCGTTGTGCACATGCTACAGCCATTGCTTCTCAACATCCTCAGTGCAATGTAAAAGTCTATACTTATGCTGGTAAATTTGCTTAAAAGCCTAAAGCACCTTTCCACCAACAACTTTTCATTCTCACACTTCCTCTTCACCTCTAATCTCATTGTCTTGGGAGAAAAGGTGAACTTTGCAGCATGTCATAGAATCATAGAATGGT